AGAGGAATTTGTTAAGTGTGTACAATTAAATTTCCTGATTCAGTATGTGGATCTACCTACCAGAGAAGGTGCAAAACTTGACCTACTCTTGGGAAATAAAGCAGGGCAGCTGACTGAGGTGTCAGTGGGGAGCACTTTGGCGCCAGTGACCATAATTCTATGGGTTTTAAAATAGTGATGGAAAAGGATAGACAGATCTAAAAGTTAAAGTTCTAAATTAGAAGAAGGCCAATTTTGATGGTATTAGACAAGATCTTTCAAAAATTAATTGGGGGTGGATGTTCGCAGGTAAAGGGATGGCTGGAAAATTGAAAGCCTTCAAGAATGAGATAACAAGAGTCCAGAGACTCTATGTTCCAGTTAGGGTGAAGGGCAAGGCTGGTTGGTGTAGGGAATGCTGGTCACCTAGAGAAATTGAGGTTTTGGTCAAGAATAAGAAGGGAACATATGTCAGATATAGACAGCAGAGATCAAATGTTTCCCTAGAACAGTATAAACACAGTAGGAGGGCAAATAGCAGACATGAGATAGCTTTGGCAAATAGGGTTAAGGAGAATCCAAAGGGATTCTATAAATATCTCAAGTACAAAAGAGTGGCTAGGAAGAGAGTAGGACTTCTTAAAGACCAGCAAGGCCGCATAGGTGTGGAACCATAGGAGATGGGGGAGATACAAAACGAGTATTTTGCATCAGTGTTTATTGTGGAGAAGAATATGGAAGATAGAGAACATATGAAATAAATAGCAACATCTTGAAAAATGTGGGTGCTGGATGTCTTAAAATGCATAAAGGTGGATACATCCCCAGGACCTAATCAGGTGTACCCTAGAACTCTGTGGGGAGTTAGGGAAGTGTTTGCTGGGCCTCTTGTTGAGATATTTGTATCAAAAATCGCCACAGGTGAGGTGCCTGAAGACTGGTGGTTGGCTAACGTTGTGCCACTACTTAAGAAAGTTGGTAAGAAAAAGCCAGGGAACTATAGACTGGTGAGCCTGACTTTGGTGGTGGGCAAGTTGTTGGAGGGAATAATGAGGGACAGGATTTAGATATATTTGGAAAGGCAAGGATTGATTAGGGATAGTCGACATGGCTTTGTGTGTGGGAAATCATGTCTCAGCAACTTGATTGAGTTTTTTGAAGAAGTATCGAAGGCAATTGATGAGGGCAGAGTGGTGGACGTGATCTACATGGACTTCAGTAAGGCGTTCAACAAGGGTCCTCATGGTAAACTGTTTAGCAAGGTTAGATCACATGACATACAGTGAGAACTAGCCATTTGGATACAGAACTGGCTTGAAGGTAGAAGACAGAGGGTGGTGGTGGAGGGTTACTTTTCATACTGGAGGCCTGTGACCAGCGGTGTGCCACAAGGATCAGTGCTGGATCCACTGCTTTTTGTCATTTATATAAATGATTTGGATGTGAACATAGGAGATTTGATTAGTAAGTTTGCAGAAGACACCAAAATTAGCAGTGTAATGGACAGAGAAGAAAGTTACCTCAGAGTACAACAGGGCCTTGATCAGATGGGCTGAGGAGTGACAGATGGAGTTTAATTTACATAAATGTGAGGTGCTGCATTTTGGAAAGGCAAACAGGGCAGGACTTAAACACTCAATGGTAAAGTTCTGGGGAGTGTTGCTGAACAAAGAGACCTTGGAGTGCAGGTTCATAGTTACTTGAAAGTGGAATTGCAAATAGACAGGATAATGAAGAACACATCTGGTATGTTTGCCTTTATTAGTCAGTGCACTGAGTATAGAATATGGGAGGTCATGTTACGGCTGTACAGGACATTGGTTAGGCTACTATTGGATTACTTCTACATGCAGTGCTGGTCTCCCTGCTATAGGAAGGATATAGTGAAACTTGAAAGGATTCAGAAAAGATTTACAAGAATGTTGCTAGGGTTGGAGAGTTTGAGCTACAGGGAGAGGTTGAATAGGCTGGGGCTATTTTCCCTGGGGTGTCAGAGACTGAAGGTGACCTTATAGAGGTTTATAAATTCATGAGGGCACAGATAGGGTGAATAGACAAGTTCTTTTCCCTGGGGTGTGGGAGTCCAAAACTAGAGGACGTAGGTTTAAGGTGAGAAGAGAAAGATTTAAAAGGGACCTAAGGGGCAACTTTTTCATGTAGAGGGTGGTGTGTTTATGGAATGAGCTGCTTGAGGAAATGGCGGAGGCAGATACAATTACAACATTTAAAAGACATCCGGATGGGTATATGAATAGGAAGGGTTTAGAGGGATATGCTTCAAATGCTGGCAAATGGGACTAGATTTATTTAGGATAGCTGGTTGGCATGGACAAGTTATACCAAAGGGTCTGTTTCCATGCTGTCCAGTTCTATGACTCTATGAACCAGGGTCAATCCCCTGGATTGATGGTAATGATAGAGTGGGGGATATGCCTGATCAGGGTTTGCAGATTGTGTTGGAGGGCAATTCTGTGCTGATGGCCCACAGCGCCTCATGGATGCTCATTCTTGGGTTGCTGGATTAGTTTATGATCTGTCACAATCATAGTACCACAAGACATGATGTAGGGTGTTTTCAACATGAAGGTAAGACTTAATCCCCAGAAGGACTGTGCAGTGATTACTCTTAGCAATACTGTCA